GTTTTCCTGCTTCCTCCAACGCAACTCACCGTTTCACCGGGAACTTTTCGGCAATAGTTGGCAGGCACAAATCCTTCCGTGCCGTCCTGCTTCAAAACGCGCCACCATTCAGGGGTTGATTGTTCCAGAAGTGCTAGTACTTCACCTTTTACTACAGACATTCCATTGCCTTCATATTTGTAAAGCATTTCAATTTGCGGCACAGTAACCTCTTCCGTCTGAAGTTCCCCATCTTTCATGCAAAACACTTCAATATTAGGAAAAGCTGACCTCTTGAGTGCTAGTTGTAGCAGTATGGAAGGAGCTGTTCGCTAGTTGTTGGCTCATCTCTTCAAGTCTCACTATATCAGCCCTGAAGAAGACCACATAACGCTACCAGTAATCGCTAAAAATGAGATTTCGACTCACCTATAAGCATGAATCTCCTCCTCAAGACGTGCATGTCTTTGTAACAACGATTCTGCTGCACCCTCATCTCGCCCAAGATCATCACTTTTCACTAATGGCATCTTCTCACGAATCCACGATTCAGCTTCGTTGGCATCCTAAAGAAAAATTCATTTGATATTTTATCCCAATTTCTGGCCAAAAGACAAAGTGATCACAAGTAATTTACTTGGAAGTATTGTTGAGCTTGTTTAGCTTCATTAAGCCACTGGCCAAGCGCCTGATGGGCAGCACGAAGTCTTTCCCAACCTTGCTGCATTGCATGGATGCGACTCTAAAATACAACAAGAAATATATGTATTCGTACAAATAATTTTCTCAAAGCAAATATGATATTATGCGAGAAATAGAGAGAAGAGCCAGACTGATTGCGCCTTACCTGAATATCCTCACGAGATTGGCCATTCTCAATGAGATGTTCCCCTGCAGCCATCATATCCTTGCTGCGAGCCCAGTGCGACTGCATTTCAGTCTCAGTATTCTGTAATAACCATTTTCCAAAGAATTCTGTACTAAAATAAACTAAAGAGATTTGCAATTATCTCTAAAAGGATATTTTTACCAATACAAACCTTATAGAGGAGGGTGGTTTGCTGTACTGCTGCGATATCGTTGTTCGCTAATGCACGACGGCATAGATGCTCTTTTTCGGCTAGCCATGAGAGCTCTTCTTCATTGTCCTGGACGAATTTGTAGAGAGCACGAGCTTTCTCAAGGTTGGCACGTCTCTGACGACAAAGGTCCACCAAACTAAAGGGGATAAAATGGGGGAAAAATGAATAAACGGAGAAGTAATGGTCTTTGGAACATACGAGTAATACTGCGCCGTAACATCATCAAGTTTTCTCTGAAGCACATCATACTGTTCTCCTTTACTTCTAATGTACTTGTTGGCCTGGTTGGATACGTTGGTAAGCCAGGTTCCTTGAGCATTAACCTAGAAAGAACTACATTATAATCAAAGTGGTTTAAGCGATTTGGC